AAGGATAGGGCCATGAACTGTCAGACAGAAGGACCCTCGATCCTCTTCGATCCTTCGTTTTTGGACCCAGCAAGGCATCCGGTGCCTGGTCTTTGTTCATCGTGTGGTCCTCGGGTCTCTGCTCACCTTCCCCGGGGCAGGCGTTTGGTCTCGATCAGTTTCTGTCGGAGATTGACAGACCTCCTACCCTGACACGTCGATTGGTGAATTGGCCGTTTTCGGTTCGCGAGAGGGCGTCGCGGCCGTCATTTTTGCGGGGCCAGGTCCGTCGGTTTCGGCCCCAGGTCGTTTTCACTAAGGGGAGGTTTACTAAAGGGAGGTTTGTCCACCGCCGATTCTGGGTGGTCCTGGGGCCCCGGGCTTGAGCTGGGCCCCAGGGGCCCCAGGGCCCAGAATAGTAGCCTGAAGTCGGGCCTGCCCCTCTACAGGAGGAATATTCGAAAATAGGAAAAAATAGTATGGGGACGACTTCTTGAATATCTCTTTGAGCATTCTGTTGAGTATTCTGGAGGGTATTGTTGATTTTTCACCCCAAATCGGCCTGTAGGGGGACAGGCCCGACCTAATAGTATCGGACTGGACGAAAGGGGGAGATAGGGAAAGGCGGGGGCTCGAAATCTGCTGCGTGCAGCTGGTTTCAGCCCCACCGAGGGGCCCATTCCTCGGTATATGGGCGCCTCCCGGCGCCGGGAGGCGCTGGGAAAATCAGCTGCGCGAGCTGATTCTCAAACCCCCCCTTTGCTATCCCCCCCTGTCGCCCGACCCGATTTTCGCCCAGAATCGGCCTGTAGGGGGACAGGCCCGACCTAATACAGTGCCGTTTTTGATACATGCTCCGCGTGCGGACCATGTCTTAAACATGCAGGGAGTTAGGATTAAAAGCAACGATGGGTTCATGCATCAGTTCATAAGTTCACCATGTGTTCAAAATCCCATACCTTTAACACATCCCGTGCACTAAACACTGCCCTGACAGCAGCCCGCCTCCCTGCCTCCCGCTCGGATGCCACACGGCAGGATCGCGCCGCGCCGGCACGGCGGCGGCCCCCAGCACGGGGCCCTCCGGGCCGAACACCGGCCGCGGTTCGGACCAGATCGGCACCACCAGGGAGGGACAGAAACACACAGGCAAAACGAATCGTCGATTCCCCAGGAGATGTAGGAAAGTATGGGAAGTGTTGGGGGGGGGAAAGACACACACCTCAAACATGTTGGAAAGTATAGGGAGTCCTGTCGATTGTGTCTACTTATCTGTGTGCCCCAGGGCCCCTTCGGCTACGCGATCTGCGCGATCGGAGGCCCGCGTCCGCTCGAGGCTGAACGGTCCACTCCCCAGACATGCGACGTCCTGGTTGCTTCCGGGATGGCGCCCCTGGAAGTCTCGGGGGTGGACAGACCTCCTACCCTGACACGTCGATTAGTGAATTGGCCGTTTTCGGTTCGCGAGAGGGCGTCGCGGCCGTCATTTTTGCGGGTCCAGGTCCGTCGGTTTCGGCCCCAGGCCGTTTTCATTAAGGGGAGGTTTACTAAAGGGAGGTCTGCCCACCGCCGGAAGTCCCGCCCCTTCTCCTGGGACCGGCTTTTCATCTTGACTCGTGTCTGGATGGTCCCGAGGCCCGGCGAGGGCCCCCCGAGGCCGAACATCTGACGAAAACCTGGCCGTCCGTTCTTTTAGGACGCGATCATGTCTATCAGCCACGCACAGAGGGGGGTGGGGGGAGGGGGGAGGGCTCCTTAGAAGCACCCCTGCTTCTTAGAAGGTTCGGGCCTTTTCTATAGGTGTCAGGCCAGCCCCTTCTAAGAAGCAGCCTCCTTCCAGAAGCCCTCCACCCTCCCCCCACCCCCCTTGTGCGCGCCGCCAAGTCTGGGCCCGTGTCGGGGACTGGCGCCGACGTCCTCGCGGCGCGAACTTGCCGCGGAAGGCTGCCCTGCCCCCGTGCCCGCTGCCGCCCGCCTGCCCCTTCCCGCCCGCTGCCCGCCCTGCCCCGTTGTCCCCCCTACAGGGGGCTTTTCGACGACAGATAGATCATACCCCCAAAATTATCAAAACATAGTCCAAAAATAGTCTGGGGATTATTGTTTGAGCATTTTTTTACTTTTTAGGGGCATTTTTGGAGTATTTCTTTTTTTGGTCGAATCCCCCTGTAGGGGGACACGCCCGACAGAAACCTGCGCGTTCGTGGACGTCTGTTCCCAGACGTGGCCGCGTCGTAACAAACATCACGACGGGAGGTTTTGGCAAGTTTTCGGCCTCGGGGGGCCTTCGCCGGGCCTCGGGAGCGTCACAAAACGACTCAGGACGACAAACCGGCCCCTTAGAAAGGGTCGGGATTTCCAAGGACGCCGTCCTGAAAAAATCAGGACGTCGCATGTTTGGGCATGCTTCTTCCTCCTGCCCTTCCTGCACCTCTGTCGCCGAACGGCACAGACTTTTGAGTGCTGTATGCGCCTGGCGCTGGCTCAGCGGGCCTCGGGCGTGCAGTCGCCGACCCCGACGGCTCAGCCTCTGCCTCCACCATCGGACGGGAGCAGGACGAGGACAAATCCGTTCCAGAGCGTTCCGAAACGTTCGCAGAGCGTTCCCGAACGCTCTGCGAAGGCCGCAGCACCCGAGACATCCTCTAAAGCCGCCGGATCGCAGAGATTCTCGACTTGTCTTCGCCCGATGTGTCTCCTCGTGCTGGCCTCGTCTTGCACAGGCTCCTCCGCAGCGGCCAGCGGCCCGCCGCCGAAGCCTTTTCGCGCCAGTGGCTCTGCAACGCTGCCCTCGCGCGTGGCTCCGCTGCGGCAGCGCAGCTGCAGTGCCTCTTTCGCCGGTGGAAGGAGGCGCCGCTGGAGGCTTTCTCCGAAGGGCTTAGGCGACCTGTCCTCCTCCTCCTCCTCCTTCTTCTTCTCCTCCTCCTCCTCCTCCTCCTCCCCCTCCCCCTCCTCTTCCTCCTCCTCCTCCTCCTCCTCCTCCCCTCCTCCCCTCCTCTTCCTCCTCCTCCTCCACCTCCTCCCTCTCCTCCCCCCTCCTCCCTCTCCTCCCCTCCTCCTCCTCCTCCCCCTCCTCCTCCCCCTCCTCCTCCTCCTCCTCCTCCTCGTCGTCCCGGCCCCTCCGCGCTCGACCCGGGCGAATGGGCTGCGAAACTTTCCAAACCTGGCGCCGAAGGAGGGCATTCTGCTGTTCATATTGATTTGCACGCTGTAGCTGGGCGCCGTCGGGTGGACCTTCCGAGCTGGAGGTCCAGGAGCTGACCGAGGCGCAGTTCAAAGGTACCCGCAGGGAGCTGTGGAAGAGCCCGCTGCGCAAGACCTGCCCCTGGTGGTCGGCTCCATTGGCCTTGTGGCGCATAGCCACCGTGCCAGGTCGCTTTGAGCCTCTACGGCGCGCTGGTCTCGGAGCTGCCCCGCAGGAGCTACGAGCTGCCAAGTTCAACAGCTTGCGCTACCTTCTGCACGAGATCATGGTACGCACCAGGCTAGCACCGGCCTGCTGGCACGTGACGTCTGCGTTCACCGTTGCGAAGCCCAGTGGTGAGCATCGCCTGCTACACAATCTTGATGTTTACGGTGGCCGCTTCTACCGCTGGCTCTGGCAGGAGATCGGACATACCTTTGATCGCCGTTACGCGCACGGCTATTCGAAGGGGAAACGCCGAGAGGCAGCCATCATGACCGTGGAGCTTCTGAGGCACCGTATGGCGACAGCGGGCATTTCCTGCAATACCGACTTCTATGATCTCACGAACGCTTTCGCATGTTGCGAACACCGCGATCTTCTGCACTATCTTTGGGAGGACTGCCAAACACCGCAGCTTGCACGGGACTATCTGCAGCAACGTCTTGATTGCGCCACCATGCTTTTCGAGTTTCCCAACAAACAGATTCTATGCATGAGCCTGCGGCAAGGGGCACTGCCAGGATGCACGATTTCATCGCAATGGTTTCTCGCGCCGTTCCACACTGTCTTGGACCACGCTTGCTGGCACGCGGTCAACCGCAGTCACGGCCACGTGCCCCCGGCTTCACGCTGCCATCGGTGACCATGCCCAAGGTTGCGAAGTGTCTTTGACTAGCTGGTTACGCAGACGATTCGCAGCGCACCTACCCCGTAACGAACCCTGTAGACGCCAACCGGAAAAGCCACGGCACGTACACCATCTACAAGCGGCATGCCGCAGCACGCAGCTACGCAGCTAACGATGGCAAGCTCGTGTCGCTGCCGCATTTCGTCGGGAAGAGGGCGGACGCGTACCAGTGGATCGTCCACCGCGTGCCTGGAATCCTGGCTGGTGCAGTTTCTGGCGCCGCACGTTATCTCGGCCCCCACTTGGCGTTTGACGGTTCTCTTGGACTTGAAAGGGTTCGCAGGGTTGCTGCGGCTCGCGCTGCGTACGCCGCTTATAACAAGTTTTGGCACAACAATGGCCCTCGCAGGTGGGCCCGCATATTGTTCCAGGGCTCCGTTACCAGCATGCTGACCACGGGCCTCGCGGCTTTCGCGCCCTCGCAGGCGGATCTGAAAGTTCTTGATCGATGTAAAGACCAGCTCTTGCGGAAGGCTCTGCATGGCCGCGCCCATCAGGAGGCCGCGCTCGCCGACGGTACTACAAAGCACACGTCGTGGTCCAACAAACGCGTCCGGCAGGAGATGCAATCTGCCAGCATGGGCACACTGTTGCGAGTCTCCCGGTTAAGATGGTGGCAAGACATTGTGTCGTCGCCCCGGCGTTACGCTCAATTTCTATTTGCCTTTTTTGGTCAATTGCCTTGGGGCGCGCCTTCCAATGCCCCCTGGCTCCCCGATGGGCGGCCTAGCACTCTGCCCTACAAGTGGTGGAGTCTGCTTCGTGCCGACCTGCTGGAGGTCGCCACCGTGGCGGACAGCGCCGACCTCGAGCACGCTGCCGACGATCCACGTCTGCTCTTCCTGGACGAGTACGTGAAGGATGCGTTCTGCAGGCTGGACATGGCCATCTTGACAGCGCGGGAGTTGCACCATCGTGAGATTCCGCCCCCGCACGCCGCGGCGCTTCCGCTCACCGAGGCTGCTGCGCCGCTTGCCCCAGGAGGCTGGCGCACAGTGTACACCTGCACGATCGCCACGGACACCGGCGAGGAGCGCGGCCGCAGCTTCGAGACGTACCGGCAGTTGCGCGCCCACCAGACGGCTGCCAGAGGCGGTGGCCATGGGCGCACGCAGCTGGCGACGACGCTTGCCGTGGCCAATCGGTGTCCCCTATATGCCTTGCGGTGCACGAGGCCGGCATGTGACTCGTGCCCACGTGGCGAAGAGTTTGCAAAGAGGTCATTGTCTGAAAGCATGGGAGAAAGGCAGCCGCACCGAGACCGACATCACAACAAGTCCTCCGTACACGTGTGATTTATGCGATGTCAGATTTGACACGTGGCTCGCCTTTCACCATCACGCCTGGATGGCCCATTTGGGCGGCCTGGATGATTTCTTGATCGATATGGGAAGGCGTCCTGGAGCGCGACGCGTCGTTGGCCCGCTCATCTTTATATATGTGGCCTAGGGCGGACATTGCAGCAGAGGTCAGAACAGGAGGGTTGCGACAGTCGTCTTGACCCCTACGCGAATTACGACAGCATCCACATGATACGCTTCATGGCGCATTCGTATCTTCCACCTGCCTGGATTTGTTTTCTTCCAGCGCAGCCGTCTTGCCGGGCAGGTTGCCCTGGCACCTCGCACTGCCCCTCGGCGTTTCTGTCTGCCTGCCGCGCCGCCTTCCGAGCCATGGAGCAGTGGCAGCAGGCCCTTGGCGCAGCCGCTACCCCCGCCATCGAGCCCCCGGCCGGCAAGAAGGGGCGCTGCGGCCAGGAGCGCTTGCATTGCGAGTGGATGAAGACAGCCGACAAACTGAGCTTAGATAGTGCCCAGGATGTGGCGCGCATCGCTGCCCTCGCGTACTTCTCCTACGACGTGCCCAAAGATGGAGAGATTGACAAGGCAGTCACCGGCGCAGCCCGCGCCCGCAATGACAAGTACAAGGGGCAGTCCGGCCATAATGGCGGGTCGCCCCACGCCCACAGTTTCATTGCATTGTTGCTGGCGCTGCACGGCCACGGCGACCCCGAGCACAAGAAGAACATCGAGACCTTCATGGGGGGCTTCTCGCCGGAGAACCGCCACATTCAGCAAGTGGTCGGGTGTTGCGTGCGCCAGCAGGCTTTCAAGTCGGACCGCCGCAAGCTTTTCTTCAAGCTTCTCCGGGCCCCCGGGCTCACAGAAGCTGACAAGAACGTGCTCGAGGATATTGTCGACAAACTCTTGACCACGAATGGCGCTGTCCGCAAGCTCGGGCGCGCCCCCCGGGGCTCACTCGAGCGTCGGGCCCAGCAGCTGCTCGACCTGATCTCCCAGGGAAAGAGCGACGCCGACCTCGCCGCCGTCGACGGCGGCAAGGGGGCCTTTACCGAGGAGTCGTGATCCTGTTGCTGCTCTCGTCGTCCTCCCCCTCCTCCTCCTCCTCCTCCTCCACCTCCTCCTCCTCCTTTTTCCTCCTCCTCGGCCTCCGCGCGCCGTCACGACAGGCCGCCGGGCGCCGTTGCGACAGAATTTATGTAACTCCTGTCGCCGGGCGCAGTTCCATTTATTTTCCGTCGCAAGCTGGGCGCGTGGACACGTGCTCCCCCAACCCCCTGGGGGCTCCTGGCTTCGGGGTGGGTTGGGGGCCCAGCCTCTTCTTCCTCTTCCCTCCTCTCTTCCTCTGCCCTCCTCCCTTCCTTTTTCCTCCTCCCTCCTCTTCCTGAGGTTGGGTCTCCTGCTCTCCTCCGGGCCTGGGGTCCCCGCGAGGGGGTCGGAACCATCCACGCGCCCCTTCTGAGAGGGTGTAGCAGCTGCACCAGCAACCTCCGGCAGGCAACGCCGAAATACACACGGAATGCGTATTCCGGGCATGGGCGCCGTCCGCGAGGGTTCGGCAGCCAGGGCCATCCAGCGCAGTTTTGTTCATGTGTATGTGGGGGCCCGCTTGGCTGTCTCGAGCCGCTCTCGTGGCTTCCGCTCCTGCCCTCCCCCCCTCTTTGCCCCTCCTCTTCACCTCCTCTTGTCGCCCCCTCTCTCTGGCAGGGGAAGAGGGTTAGCACTCGTGCTACGTGTCTCCTGAAGCGGAGACCTTTCCGCCTGAGGTCCACTGTTTTTTTTTTGAGTCGTGCAGCAGTCGATGGATCTCGCCGAGCGGTCGCTGTCTGTCTGTTTGCCTCCACCTCCTCCCTTTCCTCCCCCTCCTCCCCCCCCATCCTCCTCTCCCCTCCTCCTCCTCCTCCTCCTCTCCTCCTCCTCCTCCTCCTCCTCCTCCTCCTCCTCCTCCTCCTCCTCCTCCTCCTCCTCCTCCTCCCCCCCCCCCCCTCCTCCTCCTCCTCCTCCTCCTCTTCCTCCTCCTCCCCCTCCCCGTCCCCCTCCCCTTCCTCCTCCTCCTCCTCCTCCTCCTCCTCTTCCTCCTCGGGTCGCCTACGGCCCTGGAGGGAAGCCGTGCAGGCGCCGCCGTTCGGTCCGCGCGCGGGCGGCCGGCCCCGAGCGGTCGTGCAGATTGCACCAGGGGCTGGGCAGGTATAGCCAGGACCCCAGGTAAGGGGACCTGGTTAGCGGTAGGGCCAAGGGGCCCTTGAACTGGCCAGACTCACTAAACTCGGGGGCGGACAGACCTCCTACCCTGACGCGTCGATCAAGGAATTGGCCGTTTTCGGTTCGAGAGAGGGCGTCGCGGCCGTCATTTTTGCGGGTCCATGTCCGTCGGTTTCGGTCCCAGGCTGTTTTCACTAAGGGGAGGTCTGTTAAAGAGAGGTTTGTCCACCGCCGATAATCCAGGCTTGCCGCAGCTGGTGTTTTGTCGGGTGACGGCAGTTCCGGTTCGTTGAAATGGGACGGGGGGACGGGGGTGCCTGCACTTATGTCGGGCGTGTCCCCCTACAGGGGGATTTTCGACGAAAAATAAAGAATACCAGGAAAATGCCCCAAAATGGTCAAACAATGCTAAAACAAATAGTGTCCAGATTATTTGTTGATTATTTTTTGTTATTTGTAGGGTATTTTTTATTTGTCGTCGAAAAGTCCCCTGTAGGGGGCAGGCCCGACATAAGCCTGCCCCCGTTGGTGCCTGCCGCCGCTCTCCGTGCGGCAGGTTCGCGGTCGTGTCGACCGGCGGCGACGACGCCGCGGACGGTCGAGGTTGAACGCCGCCAGTGTTAAGTCGGGCGTGTCCAGTGTCGGTACTGGTACCCGCCGCCAGTCGTCGTCGTGGCCTTTGCCGGTACTGGTGCCTTCTACTGCCATCATTGTTGCTACTACCATGCCAGTGCCCACCACGTCACCGTTACCCGTAAGTCGGGCGTGTCCCTCTACAGGAGGAATACTCAAAAATTGTCGAACAATCTTCGGGGCACGTTTTTGTTAGTATGTTTGAGCATTTGCTTAAGGTATTTCTTAACTATGTTTGATTTCTCGTCGAAAAAAGCCTGTAGGGGACACGACCGACCTCAGCCTACATGGAACGATCTGGCGATCGAACAGCCGCCGATCGTTCAAGGTTGAACTATACCCGCGGTGTCAGGAACCAACGCCCAAGTCGTCACGACGCGAACCTGCCGCACCCTGATGCTCGTCGTGCTTGTTGGGTGTTCTTGTGCATCCCAGGGGAGTGTGCCCTCGCAGGTTCTTCGGTTTGGCCAGCGGAGGGTCTCGTGTTCCTGAAGGCTGTTCTTCTGCCCCAGGTCCGGCTGTAGCAAGTAGATCGCGTGGCATGAGCATGCGCTGCTCTGGCCGACCTCTTTGGCCAGCGCTGTGCCCGACTAGCGGCGCCTTTTGTCTGTCGGGGCGAGGATCAAGTCGGGAATGCTGAGAATTCGGCTGGCGAAGGACTCAACCGTATGCATGTGTGAGTCCCTATTGGGCCAGGATGCGTGTGATGGGTGTGCGGAGATGGGTGCGGCGGGCGCATGCGAACGCAGCCACTGGGGCCTTCGGTGGAGCTCCCTATGGGGCCACGAAACGTGTGAGGGGTGCGCCGAAACGGGTACGGCGGGCGCATGCGAACGCAGCCACTGGGGCCTTCGGTGGAACTCCCTATGGGGCCACGAGGCGTGTGATGGGGTGTGCCGAAACGTGGGTGCGGCGGGCGCATGCGAACGCAGCCACTGGGGCCGTCGAAGAAGCTCCCTATTCGGCCACGAAGCGTGCGATGGGTGTGCCGCGGCGGGCGCATGCAAACGCAGCTACTGAGGTCTTCGGTGGAGCTCCCTACGGGGCACGGGGCTACGAAACGTGTGATAGGGATGTGTCGAGATGCGTGCCGCGGGGGCATGCGAACGCAGCCACTGTGGCCTTCGGTGGAGCTCCTTATTCGGCCACGAAACGTGTGATGAGGTGTGCCAACATGGGTGCGGCGGGCGCATGCGAACGCTGGTTCTGGGGGCCGTCGGAGAAGCTCCCTATTGGGCCACGAAACGTGTGAGTGGTCTGCTGAAACGGTTGATGACGATGATGATGGAGGAGAGATGAGGAGGGAGCAGCGGGAGGAGGAGGAGGAGCGCGAATGCGGGGCGCTGCCTCTTCAAAACGAGGGCCCAACACCACAGGATGGTTGGGAACTAATTCGTCAAAGGATAGTACGTGGACGATTTTCATATCATGTTCGACTCTTTTGGAAGATTTGTTTGACACTATTTCATTTTTCAGTCAAAATCCAAGTGTAGGGGGACATGCCCGACCTAAGGCTAGGACGAGGATACATCCGTTCCAGAGCGTCCCGGAAGGATCTCGGAGCGTTCCGGAACGCTCTGAGAAGGCCGCGCCGCCGGGGACATGCTCCAGAGCCGCCTGATCTCATATATTGTAAACTTATCATGCCTCGCAGATGGGGTCGGAGTAGATGGGGTCGGGCGCGGTCCCTCTACAGGAAGAATATTCAAATATAGGAACGAATAGTTTTGGAACGGTCTTTTGATTCATTCTGACCATCTTTGAGGATTTGTTTTTCACTTTTCATTTCCATCCAAAATACGCCAGTACAAGGACATGCCCGACCTGAATTTATCCTCACCCGATGTTTTTCCTCGTCCGCCATGTCTTATCTCGCGCCTGCCCAGGCGCGCTCCGCGCCAGGGGGCCGCCCCTGTGGCCGCCCGAGGGGGGTGCTCTCCGCCGCCGGATCCAGCAGAGGTAAGGCCGCTGCCCTGTCGGCGGCCGCTGCTGCAAGGTGCCCTTCTCTTGCCTCCCGCCCTCCCTCCTCCCTCCGTCCTCTCTCCCTACCTCCCTCCTTCCCTCCCTCCCTTCCTCCCGCCTCCTTCCTCCTTTCCTCCCCCCTCCCTCCCTCCCTCCCTCCCTCCCTCCCTCCTCCTCCTCCTCCTCGTCTTCCTCCTCCTGTTCCTCCTCCTCCTGTTCCTCCTCCTCCTGCTCCTCCTGCTCCTCCTCCTCCTTTCTCCTCCTCCCTCGCTCCCTCCTTCCCTCCCTCCCTCCCTCCCTCCCTCCTCCTTCCTCTTTCCCTCCATGTTCCTCCCTCCCTCCCTCCTCCCTCCCACTCGAAGAGGAGGGCTCCGCTGCTGTTTCGCTCACAGCGGGCCCGCGCACTTCGTAGTGCAGCGAGTGCCAAAGGACCGCCGCCCTGTTAAATATCATGTTGATATTGCCCCCATGTCTCTTACCTTTCAACGCTGCCACCCGCAACTTTAGTTGGCAGCGGAACTGGGAGCGATCTCGGCTCGCGATCCACGGGGCTGCGCCTAGTGCGAGATGGTTGCACATTCGCATTATCCCCCAAGCTTTCCATTGGATCCACCCTGCGTCCCACGAGTGGCCTGTGTTTGTGGCTGTTTTGTATACCGTTTGGCAAGTCGCTTTGAATTTTCACAACAGCGACGATGACGATTAACGCCGTGTGCCGTATGAGACGTGTGAGAGTTTAGCTGCGACGGCAACAGCAGCCGCAGGCGTTACCGCGAGCTGGGGCGACTCGCCCACGGGAGCGCCACGACTTTCCCCGATCCATCGCACCTCACAGGCACTGGCCGCAACTCCGCGTCGGGCATGGGTGCGAGTCGCCATCTTGGGCAACTGCCGTTCCTCGCGATGTGTGCGACAGTGCTGGCTTCTGCGAGTTCGTCGTGCCACCCGAGTGGAACACTGAACGCGAGCGTACATTTTCCACCACCCTTTGGGCCGCTCAAGGGCAACAACTTTTACGGCTGCCATCTGCTTCATCATGGTGGACACGCATCCGGCGAGGACTGCATACATTGCGTCGGGATGCAAGTAGCACGTCGGTTACGCTGCGACCATTGTTCACTTGGGTTTTCGTCTCATACACCTCGTCGGCCAATCCGACAACAACGAGCTACCGTACTTCGTCTTCTTCGGTATTCTCCTCGACGCGGACTTCGACGGGGACCTCGCTACCACCGACGCCTACACTCCTCCAGGATGGGGGGCGTCCAGGTCTGTCGCTGGCACCTGTTGCCGTCGCGCCGCGTGCTGCCTGGAAGTTTTGTCGCGCACCCTTCCCCCAGGAAGAGGGAAGTGCCCCAGTCAACGTGCTACGCCGCGCGCGGCCATGGTCATAACCATTCGTCGGCCTTCCCCCGGCACGACGCCCGTTCACTTACTCAACAGGGTAGCAATGTTGAGCGCGATGGACAGGCGAGCGGGGCAGAGCCAGAAAGACCGAGCGCCCCGCGCGCCGGCGCGTGCGGCGCGCCCTGACATTCGGTGGCACGATGCGCAGAGCGCGCAGCTTCAGACGTGCCGACGCGTTTTTTTTTGTTGCTTTCGGCCGCAAGGCAATATGTGCATTCTGCCACTGCAGCTTCCGAGGTGCGCGCGGATGTCCCTTCAGCGGCATTTGCCCTGTCAGTCAGGACTCGCTGGTGGGGGGCGCGCCTGCGCAGTGCCAGTGCGCGGCGGTGAAAGCCTCGCGGTGCGCGCCACCTACGCGCGCCCGCGCGCTGCTCATCGCGCCCGGGGCAATGCCCATGCCAGGTGCTGCAGCTGCGCATTCGCGGCGCCGTATGCCCGGGCACTCCTATGCGTCGTGCTACGCGCGCTGGGGCATGGTAGGCGCCCGGCGGCGTCGGTTCGCGCGACGCGCTGCGCCCGCGCGCATCTGCGCGCCTTGCAGCGCGCGATTACGTTCAGCCGGGCGTCGGCGCGCGCGCAACGGCAGAGGCATGCCGCGTTTGGGCCCAACAACGCGCCGCGCTACGCACGCCGGGTCGCCGCGGCGCCCGGCCGCGCGCCCAAGGGCGCAAGGGCTGGCGCGCCGAGCGCACCTGCGCATGGCCAACCTCGTCTATCACAACCTTTCAGAATGCCTGCTGGCACCGATGTCGGTTCTCCCAACCGCGCTCAGGCGACGATCGGCCATGTCGCGCGGGGCGCAGCTCACAGGGGGACCCTGCGCGGGCTGGGTCAGCCGGCATGAGATTTCAGTCCGCGCACGCGTTTTCCAGGTCGCAAGCTTTGATTCGCAGCTCCACCGCGATTCGCCGAATCAGCCACGTCA